CCCGGTTGCTGCGGGGGGGGCCGGCGCCGGGCACGGAGCATCTTCTCCGTAACTCTGCCCCGGCCGCAAGAGCCACGAACGCAGGCCCGGGTCGGGGGGGCACAGACACGCGGACAGTCCGGGGTTGCCTGTGCTGCTCAGTGGGGACCGGGGGACCAAGTCTCGACTGAATACATTCGTAGCTCGTTAACTAAAACCAGACCCTCGCTTCTCAAGTTTTGACTCTATGCAAACCTTTCATAAAAGAGGTTGGCATCAGATGTGGAAAGAGGAGTGCTGGGGTGTTGGAGCAGTCAAACTGCGAGTACTTCAAAAATAAATAGGCTTATCAGCCAACCTAGAAAATGAACATTGATTACTGGGCTGTGGTTTCACCTGTTAACACAAAATAGTTTGTACGAAATACGTAGAGAGTATTCATATCATAGTTACTAAGTAATATTTGTTAGATGCTTTTTGTATCCATTGCTAAGAAGAATAATAAGTAAATTTTAAATGTCTTAATAACTTGTCTACTGAAATTGTAATTCTTAAGCATTCCAATAGGTTAACTGCTTTTGGTGATCCTAATGTCAGTAGTCAGTCCAGTGAACGTATTCAGTATACTGTGTTATTATGCAATTAACCTTGATCGTAAACATGGAAGAAAAAGAAGATGTGAAAAATACTGGGAAAACAAAAATCACTGGCATGTGATTCAGTTTATGCTCCACTTATTTGCAGTAATTTAGGGTCTGCTGTTGACTTTATTACACCTCTTAAAAACTTCTGATATAAAAGGGTAAATGCCAAACAAGATTTTTTTTAAAGATGCTGTGTATCTCTGGTCCACTGTGTACAAATTCACAGTTCTTAATAGATGGCTGAACTAACTGAGAGGATGTCAATTTGGAAGAAGAAACCGCAAAAGGATGTCCTAAGAGGCTGGAGTTAAAATGTGAACAAAAGTTCTTTGAGTTCTGCCTGTGAAGGTTAGAAGCAATCTCTTACCCCGTCTCTCCATTCCGTACTGCTGGGCTTTAGCAATAAGCTTTGGCACTTATTCCAGTGCAAGCTTCTTGATGACAAAGGTGATAGTGTTTTAGTTGCTGATCTAATATTTAACTCTAGCTATGAAGGAATCAAGATTTAAAAGCACTTGGGATAAAGGGATAGTGATTATAGAAGCATGGAGTTACTACTGGTGGATCTACTGTAAGTATATCCATACCACAAGGATGCTTTTAAAACCCCTGGCTGACCTACATCTTGTTTTGCTATTTCTGGTAAATACTGCATGGCTGAGTGCACATTCATCAGCGAGTGGTTTAAAAACCAGATTTTCTTGCTGTTAGAGTGTATTTTCAGCAAACACTACAGAACTTGCATCTCTTACTATTCTAGTCAGTGCCTGTGTTTTAAAACTTGCTGTTTTCTGCTGCCCAGTCCTAACCTGTCCAGAAAGTGAACATTCAATGCGTTTTAACATAAATAACTTTTCTGGGTTTGTACGTTTGAGAAAGTAGGTGCTTTTAGGGAGTGATTTGCTATAACCTACTGTTGTAAAATACCATGTTTTCTTGATGTATAGAAATGACTTGTCATAAAAACACCTGTACTAAGACCTTAGCTTCCATTAGACATGACAAGGGCAGCGAAGGTCAAACAAATAAAGGAGAGGAAGGAGTGACTGTCGGTCACTCACTAGTTCTGGATGAAATGTTCTCATCTTGATTCTAGTTAACTTTTCATGACCTTTTCATCACCCCTCTTGCGTATGTGATGTGTTAAGATAAGCTTTTTAGGAAGCACTGTTACGAGGATGGTAGAAGGGTTTAGGGAGGCATTCTAACTAAGTGCTGGCTTAGCACAGGTGTTTGGGAGAGGGGAGAAAAACACACATTGCACTGGAACCACAACTGCAAAGGGAGATTGAGAGGTGTACTCAAGGCTGTGTTATACAGGGCTATACAAGCCTGAGACCCTTTTGGAGCCTGTACAAAAGGAGGATACAGAGTTGATCCTCCTGATCTATCAGGCTGGTATCTAGACCCTTAATTTCTCATATATGTTCAGTTTTTAAATATGTTTTTGTCTTGTAGTAAATATGGTCTCGTGATCTAAGCATTCACTTTTGGTCTGTTTGGAAGTTAAAACCCTGAAGCAGAAAGGGTCTGTTTGGAAGTTAAAACCCTTAAGCAGAAAGGGGAGTTAACAAGTTTGGTGTTGTTCTGTGCAAGGCAAGTTGGCCACCTGATCTTAAGGAATAAAGAAAGAAGGAATGTAGTCAACATAATGATCACCTCATAAATGTTTTAGACCAGTGATGGTCACAAGACACAGCGTAACTTGCTTTCAAATTTTTTGTGTAATAACCCCACTTGCAGTTGCAACCTGCGCTTACCCAAGTAACGGCGGAGGAAGTAGAGCAGTAGCTTGCAAATATGGGATGTTGCTTACATATGGATAAAGTTGTTCTGCTCCCCAGGAACTAACAAAAATACTGCTTCTAGGAACTGCAGATCTGAATACAACCTTGTAACTGTTGGCTGTAGTTATGGCAACGGATCTCAGATTTGTAGAGCCCCCTAACTGGCTGAGGTGAAGTGTGGTCCTGTGAAACAGCTAAGCCAATCTACCAGCTCATTAGTGCTCCCCCAGCTTTCCTTGTGCCTGCTTATTGGCCACTTTGTGGAGTCATTTATCTTGCCAAAGCGTGAGAAAATTAACCTGTTGAGAAATAAGTGATTAATTTTGTAGTTGGATTACCTTAATGGAAGAGCTGGCACAAGGAATATGGAGAGTGGCACCACTCCATTTGGATTAGGTTATTTTTTAAGGTGGGCTGAGCATCATCAAATGGTGCCTTAGTAGCAGGAGCTACTATGCCTGAAGATCGCGTTTGTACATCCCAAGGGAGCAAGACCAGGGACCAGACTGACATGGGCAGTAACTGACAGCAAAATACTGCAATGCAATTGCTCCATTTTCCCGGAGACTTAAGTAACAAAGCATCAAAGCGTATTGGTATAATAGTGGCACTAAAGAAGAAACATGAGGTGAAAGTCAAAATCTCACTTCTGGAGTCCTGCCTGAAGGCTTGATATCAAAGACACAATGCTCATTAAAATGTAAGGTGATTTTCTTGGAGCTCCTCTCAAGTGTTTTTGGGGAAAGGCGAACTACTTAAGATACTGAGTTGCTTTCGTGCCTTTTCTAAGAATTTCCTATTCAGCCAGGACAATATATTCATACAGGAAAATATCCTCTGCTTTACTGACAGTATCTATTAAATATATATATATTCTGTGCGAGTGCTTCTGGATATCTGCTTCATGTTTACATGCAATTATAATATTTTTGCACTTCTCTTATCAGTTTGGTTATATATTCAACATGCTTGTCTCCTAATGCTTGCAATAAGAAGTTAATTTATTTTCTGGCTGTTCATCCTCCTTCATTTTCTCATATACTCCATCAATAATCACTGCATACTATCTCATGTCTTATCAATTTTGGGAGCTGATAACCTGTCCTTATAAGATCAGCGGCGGATTCACTGAACTCTTTACCTTTTACAGCTGACTCAACACAATTACTATATCAATGTTCTGATACCTTCTGCAAACAACTTGTTAGGTACTTGGCTAAAGTTTTCTAGAAGGACACCTAGATGAAGTTTGTTAATAATTGATTTCCATGCAAAATAGTTTTGTCTGTACTGCTGACTGCTAATTGAGGCGTGTGTGTTTGTGTGGTCAGCTGGCTAGATGTCAGGAGTGATTTAAATGTTTATGCCTCATGTGATCTGAGGTATCTGGGAGTATCATGTGAGATGGTGTTTGCTTTCTTGTTCCTAATTTTAAACACAAGCCTTTTCTGTGGCAGTCTATCATTGCGTCTAGATACTTTGAGGCGTTCTCCTTGGAGAACTGTGGTCAGAGTTTAAAATTAATTTCCCGGAAAACTTGGTTCATTTTGAAGGAAGGCTGACTTATAGAGCCAAAAAGAGAACGGTTATTTGAGGAAATTATGCCAGTAAAAACCATGACAGTTGGTATGTATCCAAAGGTATTTGCATTTCAAGTAAAACTAGTAAAAAATTACCAATTGATTGCCTCTTTGTCACACAAACAATAGCCACCCCTCCCACTCCCCCCAGTATTATATAGGTACTATCTTTTCTTTTTTCCAAATGAAATTTAAAATTCCCCTATTTGTGGCTTTTGTTGAATGTCCTTTTCTCATTGTTTCCTGAGCGGTATTAAGGCCAGTCACTTTCCAGGGTGCAATTTGCTTATTATTGTCTTCTACTGGGAACTGTGAATCGGTCATTAAGACTGAAGGATAGTGACAGGCAGGAGTATCAGTGTATCCTAAAGCTAGTTACTGTAGTTCCCAGACTTGGAAAAGTCTGTAACCTCTTTTAGACTCTCAAATGAAATTTGTAAATGTAGTTTTGTCAGGGCAGTTGAGACAAAAGAAACCCAACAAACCAGCAAAGGGTAATTATAATACTGGAAGAGAATTTGGCTCATTGATGTATTAGAGTTCTGTTGGGATTACCATCTTTGTGAAAAATGATAATATGCTAGAACTGATAAATCATCAAATCTGATGGAAACACTTTTTTTCTGCTGAATATGAAATCTCATATTTCCAAATGTCACAGTTCAGAAGCCAATACATGTATTGCACAACTGCAAATTAGGGAAGCAAGGGTACTGCCTGAAATCTTTTCTTGGGCATCTAGTTTTAACTAGTGCTGATGTACTTTGCAAAACTTCACTTGGCAGTTATTTTGTACATTTATGGGGTCAGTCTGCAGGCTTTAAAAAGCAAGAACTTTCTATAATGTTTCCAGCAAAAAGGCTTAGAAACTAGAGATATTGGTAGATGAGAGGATGAGGAGAAAATTTACTTTGCCCACAGATGCTTTATGTGTATGGTCTGAAAGCAAAGGGAAATGTGTTTTTTCTACTGCTTTCAAATTCCATCACAGAAAATTCAGGATGGTATGTCTTTATCCCACAGAATTAATCTTCAGTGTGATTTTTTTTTTTTAACCTGTTACTTATCAAAAAGCCACTAAGAAGCCAAAGTGTAAATCATTAACACTTAAATTGTGAGGGGTGAGGACTGAAGATCTTGCATGTTTCTTTCCATAATCTGAAAAATCAAAACTTGCATTTTGTTCCCTACAGTTTAGTGAACCTTGTTCAGCTTGCAGAATATACTTCAGAAAATAAAACACGAGTTGTCAATTAGTGATTAGCAATTGCATTGTTAATATGGAAATGTAAACCTGAAGACACCCATGTTTTTGTTGTTAATCCCTGCTTTACAAACAAACAGGCATCACACCTGTACATAAGACTTCATTTTTTAACTGCAGTACAGTATCTTGGCACAGGTGGAACTTGCCCCTTCTCTTTTGTTTAGAATTAAATAAATTACCACTCTTCAACTTGTTCCTTGTCATCCCTTGGGTAAAAATTAGTATGTAATGTTTCTCAGCTTCTGCTCCAAATTGACACAGGAGCACAGCCTCTATTCTCAAGAAGCTTGAGAATAAAAATATCTTAACCAAATTAAACTTGCAGTTGATCTAAGATCAGTTCATTAAGTCACAGTGAGACTTTCTACAGTTTCCTGCTTTCAGTACTCTTGTTGATAAATATCTCTTGATTATAATCTTCTCAGTTGTGAGTCTTCCTACTCTGAGCGGGAGTGCCTATGATTATTTGAGTGCTGGTTGGAAACCTCAGCAAGTTCTTAAAACTCTGATACTCCAGATGTTTGTCCAAGTTTTTGAAAGGTATCTTTGCTGTAAGAACTTGATTTTTTACCCAAGGAAATGAGATTCCAGGGCAGAACAGAGTGACACTCTTCTACTTTGTTTTGCATTGAAACTGACAACAAAATCAACCTGTTCTGTCCTTGGCAGGTTTGCTGCTGAAACTGGCCAGCCACGAATGATTGATATAAATAGAATTACATTCTGTTCTTTTTCTGATTAAGAGCACTGATACAGCACAGGCACGAGACGGTGGAACAAGCTGTTGCCTTATAGTTCTATAAGCAATAACTAAGCAGCATTTTGTGAGGTTACAAGACTGAACTTCAGTAAACTCTTTCTAGGGTGTGATGCAATACTATAATCTCCCTTACTATGCTTTCCAGTATACTGGAGTCCTTGAAATATGACCTAAAATAAACTGTGGTCAGCTACTGGGTCTTTTAACGTTTCACTTAAGACTGCAGAAATAAAAACACTAAAAGCTTGATGAGAAACTAGAGGTAATTAATAAAGAAATCCTGAGGTATGTCTTTTGTGGTAGGTCATAACCTGCAGTGGCTGAAGTTTGTAAGTGTGGTTTTCCAGGTCTATATTTAGTCTGAAGTTCTGTCCTTTTTCAGTTCTGCAATAAGTGTTTCTCTGAAAGCATATCTGGCTTTTGAGTTAAGTCAGGTGTTCCACTAAAAGATCTCTTTCTTTAAACCATTGCTAAGTATCAGTGTTCTACAGAATTTAAACTGTTTTGATTAAATAATTTACGGAAGGGGGGCAAGCAACTGTACGGGTAAGCCTGCATTAAAAAACATCAAAATTAAACATTAAGTAAATAGGATATAGTTATGCGCACCCAAAAAAGGTGTGCTGAAAGGGGCAAGAGGAACCCTTAAGAAGTGCCGAACTCCTGAATTTTTCTAATACTTCAGTAACTGAAAAGTTTCTCTGTACCTTTGCCTTTCTGATTCTTGAGGAAAAAAAATGATTAAACATAACAGAATGCAAGAAGTTTCTCTGGGAACTTGCTGCTGAAAATTTTAAGAGCATTTTTTAAGCTTAGTTCTAATTCAGAAATAATATTCCTGTCTCCATCTAGTGTTTAAAATAAAGAACAATAAAATTTTATCAAAGGAATACTGGCATTTAGTATATTCCTTAAGAACAGTGCAGTTCAGAAAGCTGCAAATCCAAGACCCTTCCCTCCAAGTACTACTGATGTCATGTACTTAAAAAAAAGTGAACATCAAAAGTGTTATTGCATCCAAACTTGAATGGAAAAGATACGAAACTATGTATTTGCAGTATTATGCTAGCCAACTAAATCTTGTGTAGCAAAAGTGTGGTCAGTGGTGAAGAAGTGAAAATAAAAAACATAAATGGAGCTGCTTTTACTTTTCATATTTGTTTTATGTCAAATTGATAGTTTGCAAGCAACAGCTTAAAGAGAACAGAAAGACTTGCATGTGCTGTTGAAGAAAAAATTCTGTCAGAAAGATTCAGTTTGCACTTCAAAACGCAGATAACTGACAGCGCCTGAGACGATCTGTTTTTCATACCCGTGGCCTAACATGACCTGTTCCTATATAGCCTGCTCTTTGAAGTTAGGAACTCTTGATCCAGAATTATTCTACGTGTTCATTCCTCAGCTAATTACGTTTGAAAATCTAAATCTTTTCAGTGGGAGATGTGCACGCAGTACTCTGTTCTTATGTCATATTTTTTTTATCCAGTTAGAAAACGTAATGGTATCTCTGGATGCAGTGATACTGCATATGAGGGCTATAGTATGAAGATGTGTATATATAAAATAAAATGTTACACACTTAAAATTAAAGCGTCTCCTTTTTCTATCTTTCAGTTCCGGGGGACTTAGGTAATCAGTTGGAAGCTAAGTTAGATAAGCCATCAGTAGTGCACTATCTCTGCTCTAAGAAGACAGACAGTTATTTTACACTCTGGCTGAATTTAGAGTTGCTTCTGCCTGTCATCATTGACTGCTGGATTGATAACATCAGGTAAGACCAGACATGTTGCTCTCTGTGGTTATCTCCTTTCTTTGTACAGAATGGCCTCCTTAAACTTTCTTTTCTGATTCAAAAGCAGTGAGAGAAATGACTTGGAATTCTGCTAGGTAGAGTAACAGGCTGATCAGAAGATGTGGCTCTCTTGCATCTGAGGTAGCTGTTCATCACTGACGACAAGCAGAGGTTCTCTTCGTTTCTTCCACTTTCTCTCCTCTCCGTTACCCAGTGTTGGTTTGGGTACTTACCAGACACTTTGACAGGCTTATCTAAAGCAGAACGTTTTCTGCTTTTTTGATGAGTTTTGATGACGCAAGGGGGAAGGAAGGACTTTGGGCAGCACAGAGGGGACAGGCAGGAGGAATGTGAGTTTGCACTTTTGTTGGCCGTGTGTCATTAGAGAGCGGTCTCATGGGCAGCTGAGACACATGAGGTCCTTCAAGGGCAGACTGGAATTCTCTGTCCAGAATTATTTTGGTTTTACACATTGCCTAATTTAAAGCTTCCAGGCTATTTCATTGTTCAATCTGCTTCACTAATGTTCCAATAAAAATCATATAAATATCTCTGAAAACAAGATATATTTAGCTCGTGCAATTTAAAAATTGTATTGGCATGTTGCTCTTTTATGTGACTACCAAGCTGTTGTGTAGTTGTACCTCTGCTTTGTTTTGCTATACACCTCACAGGTTAGAGGGGTTTCTGGTGTGTCAAGTTTCGAGTATCAATTCAGATTCTAAGACTCCATCTGGGGTAAAAACTTGCATTCAGAAATGGCAATTGTATTCATATGGTATAACAAACAAAGCCCTAACAACAACAATAATAATGATAAAAAGACCCCAACAACCCTGACCCAATGCTCCAGATTCTTCCTATCTCAAACTGATTTGAAAAATACCTACAAAACACTCAATAGCTCTGTGTTTCCTGAGGTACCAACTGTTATTAGTCAAGAAATATCAAGTACTCCCTTATGCTAGTATCGGTGTTCTAGTTAAACAGAAATGAATTACTTTTATCTAGGAAAATTTTTCTGATATCTGATTTTACAGGTATTTTATCTTCTACTGCCACATTCTTACATTCTTGGCAAGTTTTTGCCATTATGTGGCTTGATGCAAGGTGAAATGGTATAGAACTATATAAAGTAGCTTATATTCTAAAGCTGAAGTTCAGCCCTAGTTCTGTATACTCAGTGTTATAGAGAAGGTAAGCCTCACATTTTGCATGTAAAGCATTAAACTAATTAAAATAATTGTTTGCATTGTGTAACCTCTTAGCCATTAGAGTACTCTTATTATTTATTCTTTTTTCTTCTGGGTAATAGCACTTAAAGTTCTTGTTACTGCACTCAGAATGTAGGACCCAATGTAACTGAGAGTCGTCATGTGGTAATACAACACGTTTCATGTTCTTCTCTCTTTTTTTTTTTTCTTCCCCTCCCCCGCCCCAGGCTGGTATATAACCGAACAAGTAAGACTACAGAACCACCAGATGGAGTGGATATCAGAGTCCCAGGTTTTGGGCAGACATTTTCCTTGGAATTCCTTGACCCAAGTAAAAGGAGTGTTGGTATGTATAAGCTGTGTCTGAAGTGCTTTGTCATTTGTAGGAATTTTTCTAGTGTGACTTTATACAACAAGCTACTGAAATGTGATTTCAAATTGCATTCCGTTAGAAGTAGAAAATCAGATTGGTTGGTTTGGTTTTGTAGTAGGGCAGCACATGACTCACTTTGTTTTTAAGTGTTTTCATTGCATTGTATTGTTTTGTCTGTTGTTTGGCCTGATAAATTGAGACAAGAAGATTCTGTGTTATTTAGTCTTGTGCCAAATTTTAAGTTCTCTGGATGAAACCTGAGTAGGCAATCTGAAGATGCTTTTGGAAAACGAGAAAAGTTGAGTAGAAAATTCTGTGTCTGAAGCTTGACAAGTAAAACCGAAATAAAAAAACTTCATTTCAGCTTAGTTCTGAATAAGATGTTCTTTGGTCTTAAGAATGAGTTAATGGGCTTGGGAGATAGAGTACCACGCTCTGTAGTTCCCTTTTGTCAGTGTCAGAATAATTAAATAATTACATATGTGCTGCAAAGAATTTCCGCATTAATGTGTTTGCAGGGGTTTTTTATTTTGCTTTTTTGTAGAAGTCATCTTTCAGAAAACACTGCATCTGATAAGTCTTCAGCCACAGCTGACAACTCCACAAAAGCTTAAGTAATTTAATAGTCAGTAAGGCACTGAGCTTCACAAGCTTCATAGCATGGATTTCCTTTTCTTTTCCGTAGAGAGCAATCCCCGGAAGGGCGGTAATGTACTTAATGATCGTCACTAGATGACTCTTATAACTAGAACAGGGCCATATTTAAAATTGCTGATGTTTGCTTCAGGGACTACATGATAAGCATTCAAGACTAGTGAATGAGGTTCTGCTCAAAACTTGAATACGACTGTGATATTCAATAGGATGTTTTGACACTTAATTTTTCAAACTGTTACTAGATGCATTTAATTGTGGTAATACTTACATCCTATGTGTCACAGCTTGTAATGTGCAGCATCTCTCAATATAGAACCAGTCTGCAAATGTTTCCCTTCTTTGCTATTGAGGCATTATGTTCAGTCATTTAAGTCTTAGTCCACTACCAGATAAACAGAAAAATAGTTTTGGGGCAGTTTGCAGAATTTTGCCCTGAGGTACATTGTAAGATTTGTTTCCAAGAATAAATTTTGGTGAAGTCCAGGCCAGCCTTTATGAATGTATTATATACCCTACCTGAAGTTAATTTGCAGTCCACAAAAGCTAGGACTCTAATGTAGTCATTCTGAGGTGTAGTTTTTGCAGTTCAAGGGGAAAACATGTTTGTGCTGAGGAAAATGTATCAGTTCTGTGTATGCCATGTTTTGCTGCCACACTTGTTTGATAGATCAGCCAACTAGTAAGAAGTTTTAATAATGGTATTCTCTCACTTTTGGGGGACAGCGAGCATAACTCACTTTAATATGCGGCTTTCTAGATTGTCAAAGACTAAGACTACAGTTTTAATGTCTACATATATGGTATTAGAGATAATGCCTCCAGAACTTAGTTTTTTCATGATAGTGTCTGACAGCTGCTTCTAATGCTAATCTTCTCACTGTTCTGTTTCTCTTATCTGTTTTTTTACAGGCAGTTACTTTTATATGCTGGTGCAGAGTTTAGTAGATTGGGGCTACAAACGTGATGAAGATGTAAGAGGAGCACCTTACGACTGGCGAAAAGCACCAAGTAAATAACATTGTTACTTGAACAAAATTTTGACTGTCCCAGCCAGCAAATGTTTCGGGTTTCTTCTCCCATCCTACCTGATCAATTATACTACATACCTTAATTTTGACTAGTTCCTGGAGCCTGGATACACCTGGACCCAGATGAAAGCTCTGTGGTGTGGCTTCTTTTTTTGCTTTAAAAAACTTACTACATAAGACTGCTTAAAAACAAAATAACAAAATAACAAAATCATAGAATCATAGAATGGTTTAGGTTGGAAAGGACCTTGAAGATCATCAAGTTCCAACCCCCCCTGCCATGGGCAGGGACACCTCCCACTAGACCAGGTTGCCCAAGGCCATGTCCAGCCTGGCCTTGAACACCTCCGGGGATGGGGCCTCAACAGCCTCTCTGGGCAGCCTCTTCCAGTGCCTCACCACCCTCAAAGTGAAAAACTTCTTCCTAATGTTTAATCTAAACCTGCCCTCTTCCAGTTTATAGCCATTCCCCCTCGTCCTGTCACTACATGCCCCAGTAAAAAGTCCCTCCCCAGCTCTCCTGTAGCCCCTTTAGGTACTGGAAGGCCCCAATAAGATCTCCCCGGAGCCTTCTCTTCTCCAGGCTGAACAGCCCCAGCTCTCTCAGCCTCTCCTCACAGGAGAGGTGCTCCAGCCCTCAGATCAGCCTCATGGCTCTCCTCTGGACACGCTTCAGCAGGTCCATGTCTTTCTTATGTTGAGGACTCCAGAGCTGGATGCAGTATTCCAGGTGGGGTCTCACGAGAGTGGAGTAGAGGGGCAGGATCCCCTCCCCCACCCTGCTGGCCACACTTCTTCTGATGCAGCCCAGGATCTGGTTGGCCTTCTGGGCTGCGATTGCACATTGCTGGCTCATGCTGAGCTTCTGGTCAATGAGCATACCCAGGTCCTTCTCCTCAGGGCTGCTCTCCAGCCATACCCCACTGAGACTGTATTTGTGCTTGGGATTGCCCCGACCCAGATGTAGGACCTTGCACTTGGCCTTGTTGAACTGCATGAGGTTGGCTTGGGCCCACCTCTCCAGCCTGTCCAGGTCCCTCTAGATGGCATCCCTCCCCTCCAGTGTGTCTACCTCACCAAACAGCTTGGTGTCATCGGCAAACTTGCTGAGGGTGCACTCGACCCCACTGTCCATGTCAGCAACAAAGATGTTGAATAGTACAGGTTCCAGTACCGACCCCTGAGGAACGCCACTCGTCACTTCTCTCCACTTGGACATTGAGCTGTTGACTGCAACTCTTTGAGTGTGACCATCAAGCCAGTACCAAAAAACCCATGCCACCAAACCACATCCCTACAAAACCACCCACCCCTCCCATTTAATGCGGAACTTAGAAATTCCAGTATTATTAATTCCACTGACAGTTCAAAAAAATAACCTTTTAAAGAGTTGTGTTGAACTTCAGCATTACACAACTGTGTAACCTGTGTGTGTTTACTTTAGATGAGAATGGAGACTATTTTGTGGCCCTTCGCAAGATGATCGAATTAATGTATGAGCAGTATGGAAGTCCTGTTGTCTTAATTGCCCACAGTATGGGTAATATGTACACCCTCTACTTCCTCAACCATCAGACTCAGGATTGGAAAGACAAGTACATAAAGGATTATGTGTCATTAGGCGCTCCATGGGGAGGAGTGGCTAAAACTCTCCGTGTGCTGGCTTCAGGTAGGTAATTTGAGGGTGTGGAATGTATTTTGTTAGCAGGGCAAGATACTAACTAGACTGTTAACTGTAAGACTGGAGGATGAGCATGTAAGTTACTATGAAGTTAAAAGTAATTTTTTCATAAGTGATGGCAACTTGAGGTTTCAAGCCTTGTGAACCAGACTTCTTTATGTTCATGGCAATGGTGTAAGTCTCATATCCCTTAACCAGGAACTGTGTCCCCTCTTGACTTCTCCTAACCTCTTTTTTAGCACATTGTTGTGTCATCTGCTGTTTGGCCTGGTGTCTTCTATTTCTGTTACTTCTGCCTCCAGACTGATTGCTCCCTGTTCAGTGTTGCAAAGCTAATGGCTCCAGAGCATTCAGTAGTTTCCTTTAATTAAAGATCACACAGCTACTTGAGGTTAACATTAAGGGAAACTTGTAGACATGGTGGTGAAGTGGTGCCCACAGCACAAATGCCTGTCAAAAGTTGTAACTCTACAGATAAGGAAAATGAATCTTTGAGAACTTGGGTTTAGCATAGTGGGTATGCCTGAGACCAAAAAAATGAACTAAAGCATAACGTATTTCACTAAGTAACTGCAAATGGCTGATGGAAAAAGTTCACTTACCCCATCATGTGATACCATAATTACTTCATGTGCTTTGGCATTTAGTTCATGATATTTCTGGCTTGGTTTTTTAGCTTGTTTCTGACTTGTTAGCTTTGGAAATCACTATCTTCTTAAACGAAGCTTACATCAGAAACTGGACTTAATCAAAATGCAGAACACGCAGCAAGTGCCAGCCATGCATGGACAGATCAAAGAATACTTTGCTTAGCAAAGGCATTTGATTCTGAATAGTAGCGCACAGCTCAGTTACTAATTAGAAAACTTAAACTGGATGTTTGTATTGAGTTATATATTGTTAAATCTATTGCAATAGCACTGTAAAAAAATGATTTCCCTTTCCCCGCAGGCTTTGTCTGACAAGTTTGCATGCTACAGAAATGGCAGGAAGTGAGCAATGTTAATATCGCCTTCATAAAATTACACATCATTATACAAAATTCCACAGTCCCAGATTTCTGTTGGATTAAACTTTTGTGCTTCATATCTTGTTTATCCTTTAAAATGCATGTCATCCAAAGTGGCAAGCAATACAAACACATAATAGTTAAATTTGTACTAAAATTCTACTAAAATGTAGTCATCCTTTAATCTGTGTCTGTTGTATTAAAGTCCATGTTTTAGAGCAGAAATTTAAGAATCATGTAGGAAAGTTAAATGGGCAGAACATAATATCAGAATGCACATTTTTAGGCTCGTTCCGGCTCAAATATCTGCAGTAAACCACCACCATCAGGCATTAACACTTGGATTACATTAGTCTATTAAAGAGTTTCGAAAATTGACATTATCAGGGTGTTAGTATGCAGAAGAATTGTTGCTTTAAAGAAAAATACTGTGTTGCTGCAGGAAAGACAAGGCAAACTATGAATGCATTCTTTCTGTTCCCGTTCCTGTTTAATATGGTAATGGCTAGGAACTTCATGTCAACTCCCCAGTTGTGTTATCAAAGTGGTAAACAGTACACAGGTGGAATTATTTTCTCTGGATCATCTGTGATACTTTCTGCTACTTATTCATGTGCTTTGCAGGATCAATACTTATATCATTACAATTCTAGTGCTGATAAATTGAGGATGTTCTTCCCAGTACAGCAAGCAAAGACACAAAGTTCACTGTGGTGGTACGGTTTGTTGGTTTTCTTGTCAGTTTGAGGTCCTAGCAGTTTCTTCCTTAAGCCTAATATTTTGTTCACTACAATGTCAGTGAGTGGTGTGCCTGCTGACTTAAGCATGGTCTTACATGTCATGGTCATACAATACTTCTGCACTTCAGAGAAAAGTAAAGCATTTGATAAGCATTTTGTAACAGTTCTGTAAGAGAAAGCTGGAGTGGTCAGGTTCTGTGTTTGATTATTCTACTGGAAATAAATTTTGTACACATTCCATTCATCGTTCAATTCGGTACTCGGGCTTTCTTTGCTGAAAACGGCCAAGTAGTATTCAGTAGCTTAGTGGCGAGTGTGCAGTTAAGTATTTATACCCACAGTTAAGTATTTATACCACACAGTAATATGAAACATATTTTTCAGGACCTTTATGATTCTTGTTGTGCTCTTTTGAGTCTCCTTTTCATCTGTTTCAGAGTTGTAATAGCAATGTCTCCGTATAGTCCTCCTAAAGATGGCATTGAAGACTGTGCTTTAGGTCTCCTTGCTGAAGCAATACTGCCACCTTATGGACTTGAAAAATACACTTTGGTGCTATTTCAGGAATAGCTGTTTGGGTTTCAGTGTTTCAATTTTTATGTTGTGGTTGACCTGCATCACTGCATGCTGTAACCACCTGGACCTAATAATAGAAAATCTGATTCAAGGTTCAGCTGACAAAAGAATTGAGGAGTGCTAGCCATTGTGATAATGGAAAATATGTCTGATCAGACAGTTACCATGAAAATAAACTCAGATCTGTCTCAGGGATGCTTTTTTTTACATTTGCTTCTAGTAATCACTATATCTGCCATTTATTAAGCAGGTTTTAATTTCTGTGAAGATGCAAGAACAATGATTAAAGTATGAAGAAAGATGCATATAAGTTTTAACTTAGTCATGTGCTACTTTGAGCTATCTTTTGGAACAAACTGCTAAGAAAACAACGGACTTGACGTCTACAAAAAAAATCTTGACATGTTTTGGTCAAACACTAGTTAGAGTAAGCCTAAATTTGGTAAAATGTAACAGTTCTGTGGTTTCTTGGGTAATTTAAGACCTTTACTGATAATAAGCTCTAGCTCTCAAGATTTGTATATTAAGAAAGTATAATGCCTTGGAAAAGCTTGGCCAGCTGAAAACATTTCCCAAGCATAGTAGTTATCAAATAGTCTTTCAATAATTGTTAGTTTTGGCTGTTCTCTCCTGGCAAGGATGTAGTTTAGGGCACCAGAGTTGCTAGAAAATTAGTGCTACGTTGGAGAAAACCTGTGTTCTGAGCAACACAAATATTTTAGCAGTCTTGAAATGCTGACTGGAAGGGAAGATGCTGATATTGGTGATTTTCCAGTGGTTCCCATCAGAAGCTAACAAGCTCTAGCTCTTCTTTTGCTGAAGTACTACTACTGAATTGGTCACTGAGTGCAGTATTCTTACTTGATAGCATAAGCAGAGACAGTAATACTTGCCATACCGTACTACTTCTGTTTCCTTTTATGACAAGTTATTTTTTTGGGTAGCTACTAAGAGTTTGCCGTTTTCTGTAAACAGTAGGCATGTTCTGGTAGGTTTCGTTAGGAAGGGAGCACATAAACTGGTAAAATGCTATGCCAAATGGTAAATAAACCACATAGTAATCTTTATAGCTGTCCTGAATGAAGTACTGCTACTCTGCTTGTTTTGAATGTGCAAAACTCTAAATATTTTGATAAGCATATAAAGTCTCTTCATGAGTTCTTACATGTATGTATAAAGTAGTATTTATTGTTCTTTCAGCAAAAACATGATCTAGGTACCAGAATCACTGTAAAACACACTTCCAGAAGAACACGTAAGACCAAACTTGCAAATGGTATAAATAATGCCTAATAAAAGATGATTTCTTACTTCACTAATACAGGAAATATTTTATTCTTTAAAGAGAGCATATTGGAAAGGCAGCAGTGTTCTTGGTTTGTCAGTCATCCATTCATCAACTTGTATGTAAATTTGTAAGTTATTAGAAGTTAGTTTGCAGAAGTTAATTATCCAGACAATCATAAATGAGGAAAAACTTCTCAAATTGTCACTGTAAGCAAAGGGAATAATATTTTTATTCATTTTATCACTGTGAGAGGTAATAACTGCTGCTGGTTGAGATTCATGCTTCGGTCTGTGTATAATGAAATTTCACTGTTTTTTTTTTCAAGGTGACAACAATAGAATTCCTGTTATCAGCTCACTCAAGATTAGAGACCAGCAGAGATCAGCAGTTTCCACAAATTGGATGCTCCCCTACAACTACACATGGCCTCCAGATAAGGTCTTTGTAAGCACACCTACATCTAACTACACTCTTCGGGATTACCGAAAATTCTACAGGGACATCAATTTTGAAGACGGCTGGCTCATGCGACAAGACACTGAACCCCTGGTCTACCAGATGACACCACCTGGTGTGCGCATACACTGTCTTTATGGTACTGGCGTGGAAACACCTGATTCCTTCTATTATGAAAGTTTTCCTGACAAAGAACCCAAGATTATTTACAGTGATGGGGACGGTACAGTAAACTTACAGAGTGCCTTGCAATGTCAAAAGTGGGTGGACATGCAAAAACAGGAAGTGGTGGTATTTGAGCTTTCAGGAAACGAGCATATTCAAATGCTATCCAATGATACTACTATCTCCTATGTGAAAAAGCTGCTTTTTGATTTGTGATACCTTGTGTTGACAGTTATTTTCCTCACCTGTGATGCCTTCCCTGAAGTACGGGAAAATGCCTTTTAATCCCTTGGTATTTAGATATTTGAATTATTTATTTTCTGGTTTTTGTTTGGTTTTTTTTTTAAGGCTGTGTTGAAGTTGTTTGGTGTCCTAAATGATCGTTTGTCTGTGATTTGTGTTAATGATGCTTCATGGTATTTTCACATTCTGCAAATTTGGTCAAATATGCATTATGGTGCCTCTGGTGTTGTGTCCAATATTCATACAGACTTCCGTTTGGAGATTGTGCAGCCCCTTGCACATACTACATAGAATCACAGACACCTGAGTTCCTTTGTGTGGCCTTTGCAGGGTTTGGAGTGGGAGGGCTAGGAAGGATTGCGATTTCAGACGCCCATAAAACAAGGGAATAATATTAATTTGGGAAGCAGAGTAAACTTTTAAAAGGGTCTTGCATATTTTGATCCACAGTTCCCAGTACCGTAGTCTGTAAATGTGCATATCTACTAGGTAATATAAGGAAGAGGTCTGCCTGGTACTGTACTACCTTTGTCATATCCAGGCTTTCTTTTGTTATAGCTTTTGGGGGGGAAAAAAGATAGATGTGTGAATTACTTGAAGCTGCTTATTAAGTACCTTCTTGGGTAAAAGAAAGAAATTGTTCACTCATCGATTTCTAGAACCTGATTACTTAAAACCTGCGGTCTGAGGAATTCTCACCTTATGCTTTATTTATCGATGACGGAAAGAAGCTAAACAGTGGTTGGTGCTTGCAATAACCATAGCTGTGTAGAGTAGCAGATAAATTAAAGCTAACTGAGTTGAATGCTAGCAAACAATCCATACAGGTGCAGGATTGCGTTTCTGGGTGAAAAATTATCTCCTGTAGTGGAAGTGATAATGGATGGTGGGCATCAATTCAAAAAGAAAAGTGAACTTCCTGAAATAGGGTGGGGAATGGAAGCCAGCATAATACAGTATGAAGTGTAAACCTTTTTCTCAAATACTTAACCTCTGATCCAGTTCCTGACCAAGTAGCGACTGGAACAATATTGCATTCAGCTGAAAAAAATTACATTTTAAGACTAAAATTCACTTCCCATGGATTACAAGTTTCATTATTGCTGTTTCAAGAAGTTGGGACACGCTGTTCCTTAAATGTTTCTATAAATTGCTGAATGTGCAACTCTGTTCATTTCCTACAGTATTGTTTTACTGAATGTTTGGAAAAAAAAATAGAATAATTCAATGCTGAATGCCACAGAAATGATAGCCTAAAGGCCCTTGTATTTACAACATTGATTACAGAAATGCTGTTGGAGAAATAGTTTCACTTGAAGATTCTCTCTTGCTTGCTTTAAAACCAGTCACCCAGTTAGACTGCACTTAGTTTCCTGAAAACACAGTTTTGAATGCTTTCAAAATGCTAGGTCCTCCAAGAAAAATGTTTAAGAGTTTCAGAAGCTCATCAGAACTATTGAGGATTCATTATTTAAGAAACTGAAGTTGTCTAAAGGGTAAAGTTTTTAACTATTTTGGTAGCATGCATAAAATGTTTGCTGTCTTTAAATGTATCAGTAAGATGTGTTGAAATGACAGGCTTGAACTCGTTACTGTAGAATGCAAATGTTTTGGCACAGGAGGTAGGTTTAAGGCTTTAAGTTTTAATCAGAAATGACTTGTAAATTCAGAAAAACTTGAACCAGGGTCATGGATAAGCTAAATATCTTCCTAGGTTTTAACTTCCTTACGTAGCTTCACTTTCCCCCTTGCATTTTCCCTATTACCTTTGTTGAGGGAGAGGACACATATTCTTGATGTTTAAAATAGAATGTTTATCTTGTCATCAGTTGCCCAGGAACCTACAGTTCAGCAGCAATATTGCCTATACTTTTTCAGAGTAAGTACTGAGTTGGCCCAAGCCATTTGTAATTGGTAACTGTTGAAATGAAAAAAACAAAACAACAACAAAAAAATCCTCCCCAAAAAATCCTTTAGCCAAGTGTTGTGTTTTATGCAGGGCTGTCAGCTGGATAAGCTTCAGCCTTGTGTTCCAAGACTGCTCAAAGATAAAGCTCTTCCTGTGGTCTGACTCTGTGGTCTGATTTTTGAATAAATTGCTACATTACTGGTTTATAACAGAAAGAAATCACAGAAAACAGCTTATCACAATCTGTATTTCTTGCTGAAGTAGAATGCCTGCTAATAAGCACTGGAATGAGTGGAGCTGGAAGCTGTATTGCAGGCTACCAACATGGGCATCAAGGGCTGAAAAAAATGAGAAAACATAGGGAAACAGTTCTTAACCTGATGTGGAGAATTTTTCTAAGCTTCATTTAGATCCTTACCCATTAATTGGTGTTATTTTCAGTCCCATACTGAGTTTAGCTTCAGGGCGTTTTGCGATTTGAAGTTCCAAAATATGTGATTCCAAAAGATGCTTTTTCTTTTTTTTAATTCTTATTTTTTGTTTACTACTTTTTAAATATTACTTCTTGTGCCCCAAAAGAAAAAAAAAATCTTATTCTTTTCTGATTTTGGCAGCCTAGTACCGTGTTTCTGAGATCAGTTGACTGTATCTTTTAACCTAAAGATTTGTAAATCAGCTTTCCATTAGTAGACAAGCCCTAGAGTGTGTGTCTTTAAATGAACTTGTGTTAGTTAACCTGGTAAAATGAAGTGGACAGTTTTTCAGGGCTCTTTTTCTTTTTTTTGGTTTTATGTTGTTTGTCACTAAAGGCTTTGCTGTGCAAGAATGTGGTATCTGAGTTCTAAGTACTGTGCTAGAGCAAGCACAGTGCTTCTGCTGAGACTTTGATTGGATGTGATGGGTTCTGCAGACTATAGTTCTGTTTTACATCCAGAACTTATGATTTTTCTACCAAATCATCTCCAGCTCTTTCATTCTCATTTTCTTGCATGTTAGGATGGAGTTCTCATTGAAAAGTGAATACAGCAAGTAAACTACATTATTCTAGTTGTTGAAACTGAACCACTTCACGCAGCATGTTGAGAAGTGCATGTTCCTCTACAAGGCAAGAGTGTTTAGCATTACTGCCTGCTAGAGCCACGTGCACTTGAGCATTCTAGATTCTTGTGGGGAGAGGTCTGAATAAATGTATCTTTAAGGAGAGGAGAATGTGGCACTTCCTTAAGAGGAGTAACTCAGGTGTTTTGCCACACCACACAGTTGAAATGTTTGAATGTACTGACTTATCTTTGTTATACCTAACACATCGATCATGTCTCTCTCTTTCCATAATTTTTACTTGGTTTTATTCTTCCAGGATATTTTCAGTAACCAAAAATAGTCTTGAGGACCAAATGTGTTTCTTATTTTTGACAAAATGTATAGAAAATGCTGAAGAAGTTTTCAGCTGTCATTGTAATACTTCTGAAGAGGTTCAGAGTCACTATGTGATTCTGTTTAAAAATAGAAGGCTTCAATAATTAGCAATAATTGCAAAGGACTTGCAGACCAAAGGAAGGAATGTTTGGTATTAAGGTAGTTCTTGGAGCACAATGTGTTCAAGGCCCTCTTAAATTCAGGGAATGTTTGGCAATGACTTTGCTGCTCTACACTTAACAGTATTTTGTACGGAACATATTCTGAGACCTAGCATTTTATATGCTCTTTTTGTGTATGAATGCATTCAATAGATTTTGAATATTTTATTGTCAGACTTTGATAACGTAATAAAGTTGATCTAACACAGCTTGTCTCGTGTTGTGAACAATGTGTTGTCTCACTGCTCAGATGGAATGTCCACTTGTTGCTAGTTTTCTTCCTCAAGGATTCTTGGTGTCCCATTTTCTCACAGTAACTGCTGCTTGGTTCATCTTCCAAATGCACCCACTGTCTTGTGGTATATTTGGAGTTCTCTGTTAATTGTTCTTGAATTTATGGAGATGGACTGAGATTACTCAGTTTCCTTTGCTTCTTTCTTGCTCATCTCACATGAAAAAACCCCAACACAATGGTTCTTGGGATGCCTCATGCTTCTGTTCAGGTAATCATTCTGAAATTAGTCCCTCAGTCCTGAATTGTCCTAAATGCTTGCAGTTGTCTTTATAATGTTGGTTTCCAACCTTATCCACAAACCCATGCATGTTGACCATACAGTTTCATGGTTGTATGAAACAGTCTTTTTGTAATTAAAAACTGTGCACTGTGGCTCTGAAGAAACTTGAGTGGCAGACAATGATTCTGCAGGGTAAAAAATGCTGGAAATTATTATTTCTCTTATCAAAGTGATCTAAAAGCCTGTTGGGCAAGCGTAAGTTCTCTGGTGGTTGACCTGGATGCTTCACTAACCTATAGTTCAAATGATTGCTTGTAACTATTGAGAAGGAAGAAAAAATAAGGTTGAAACTTGCTTTGTGGGGGCTTTCTTTTTTACATTATAAAGACTGTTCAAGATGAGTGTTGGTGACTGCTGCTCCTCTCTGTGCCCTGGATTCGTATTAACTGGCCATCTTGTCCCAGTACAATTCTTGTTCGTGCATTCTTCAAGGTTCACTGACACCCCATATGATTGTAGGAGAAAGGGGAATGTGGCCTTCCTCCAGCTCCCTATTGAAATGGGGAAAGTCCTGCATTAAAGGCTTGAGAGCACAGGGAAGTGGGGACAGAACAATAATGGGGCCTGGCTAGAGTGATGCCAAGCCACGGTGTCCTGCGTAATGCTAAAATATCGATATAACACTGGTGCTAGCTCAGGTTGTGCATCTGTTAAATAACAAAGTTACAGTTACATACTGCCTGATGCTGTTTTGCTGTGCTATCTAAAATGCTTACTTTAATGATGGAATTATGGTTTTCAGAAATTATGTTGACTTTCTCTTTTGCTTGAATTAGTTTTCCTCCAAAGTTCTAGCTTAATAGTTTCTTTTATTTTAAGACTAATTTACTTTGTCGCCATTCAGATCAACAAATGAGTGTTAAGTGGAATGTTTTGTTCCCAAATCAGCATTCTTCAGGCAAAAGCAGAATGTAATACAAGCCCAGGAAATTGAAGAAATTCATACGCAATGTTTTACTCAAAATATTGGTGTTAAGTTTGTCTTAAT